CGAAGTACATGTTGTAGGCACTACGCAATAGGCGAACTAGCGACTCAAGCCGAGCCATTGGGAGTATGGCACAACCATCTTAAGCAAGCGGCACGATTTGCTTGGCGTTCGCCTGCCTTAGTCCGCCGTAATCTTACCGTCAGCCTTGCCTCGCTTAGGTTTACCTACGCTATTTCAGCAGCTCAAGGTTCATAGGAGGAAAAAGCAGGACCTAAAAAAGGCCAAGGGGCGTCCGGCTTCTAAGAGAAGTAATGGGCTAGAAGCAAGCTGTAACTCCACGCGATATTCCTCCTGGGTATTCCTGTCCCCACCCACCTCTCGCCCCAATTCAGCTATATCCCCCTAAAAAGAAATGCCTTTGCCGGACCCTCTCGTACTTGTAGGGCATACCTTCACATAAATTTACGTATACGTATGTCTTACTGGGACCGCAAAGACCGAATAGGATGACCATATGTAAGAAGGTCACCTTAGAGTTAAAAAAAAAGGCTAACACAGAGCCTGCTTTTACTACTGCTACCACTACTATTATTATTGCAAGTACTGTTTTAACCGTGTCAGCACCGGTGGTGACAACTTGTGTAGCACCAAATGTTCGTTGCAATATAAATAACCGCCATTTTCAATGAAAGCGATGTAGCCCATACACCTCGGTTTTGTGGTTGGAGCGGCAAACGATCTAAGGGTAGAAAACTGGTTGACAGTTTGAATCGCATCATAATGGTTTGAGTAAGTGGTCCGTATAGGCGGAGAGTATTGGCTCTAACGGATGGATATATGGGATAGAAAGGGTAGTATTTCCAACGTAACTCAAGGACAGAAAAATAAATAGCTAGATAGACGTATAGAAAAAGAACGCGTGCCTAAATCGGTAAAGGTGTATCAGTAGAGCGGATTACCTGTAATTTACGCACTCGAAAGAAAAGATTGTGAGCGCGCGGAGAGTGGGGTGTGCGCTGCCACCACTGAAGGCATCATTCGTTAACTTTTACTTCACCCCTAACATAGATGCATTCTTTTCCGAAATTAAATAAAAAAAAACTTGAGGTTGGAGGTCGTAGTCCTAAAAGTAGATTGGTGTAGTTTTTCTAGATTAACATGACGTGGTTTTAAGTAGCCATGTTCGCCTAATCCGCTTATACGGCCTATTTGCCTATTACATACCGAAGAGTGGATGTGCCACAGAAGACAGCATGGTCATGCTATATTTAGCAAAGAAAGCATTCGAAGAGCCCATATTCTGCTTATGTTGTTCAGTCCTTTTAAGTAATAGAAAATATATTGATAAACACTCTAGTAGGCGCCGATAGAGGCCACATATGCGAGATAAAGTACAATGGAAGAATTTTCGGGTCACTTTTAGTCACAATAGCTTTGGATTGGAACCGTTTTTAGTTTCGTTAATTATTCACTTTGTTCAGTTGTTAATTATTAAAAATTCCAATATGGAGATAAAGTTCGTCTTAGCTTAGTGTTTTAAGTTCCTCTGTTCCTAGCGCGTGTGGTAGAGGTATCATTTTTTTTTTTGAAGATATTAAAAAGCTAAGTAAAACAATGAAAAACCTGCTGACCTCCAAAAGTACTATTCCTATTATTGTTCTCCGTTTATCGACAGAATGCCTGTTATTATTGTTATTGACATTACATGCTTGTTTCCTAAGAGTTGCCTTGCTATTTTTTAAGTGGCATGGTGACTCTTGAGTCTGCCATGCTTTTCTTACTCCCTGTAGATAGTCGTTCTAAACACGCATTTTACTATACCTCATCCACTTTTCCATCGAATGTCTGCTGTTGCCTGCTATTATTTTGCCCCCATATCGCCGGCAACCTCCTCCTGACACTCGTAGTAATCTTCAAAGGTCCTTCTTAGTCGTGAATTTCGGAAGCCTTCATATTGCCAAGGATGCTGTTTCGTTCATTTGTGCTTTCCGTTCAACGTCTAGCTTTAAGTCTGCGTTTTGGCACGAAGCGTCTGGCGTGCTTTGTTTATTTCTTACATATAATTTCCAGTTGGCCAGCAGTTGACTCATCCACAGATTTGGCCACGCAAAGCATAAGCTCGCCTCTCGTAAAACACTATATTTTAAATAACATCGGTATAGGGTAGTGAGTATGCCTGTTGCTTTGCTCAACCTCGGACGAATCCACCCAAAAAAGCCATCCCAGCGAAATCTTTAAGGGGCCGTAATGCGACTGGCGATACGACGGACTCGAGAACGAATTGGGGGGAACTACACAGGAGCATTTAGGACCATGCAAAGGTGAAAGTCAGGAGAGGATAAAGGCGAAGTCTTAGTCAACATTGCATTTGATTTTAGGCCTTCATGGCATTTGATGGGTTTGCAACGTACTTTACAACAGACTATTTCGTTTTCCCACGAATATATTGGTCACTACCTTAAGACATTAACATCGCAGCTGGTTCATCAACAGCGCTACATTTGCGACTTTTGCTAACTCCATACAATGCTCATAAACATCGGCGCATTCATAGAGATAAACGCATCAAGTTTCTTTGAACCAAACGATTTTATTGGTCGTTCAGCTGTAGTCCCTCTGGTAGGTGACGTGCATTGACGTCGCTTGTAACAGCGATACATTATTCTCGACCCATGCGTGCGCCTTATGTCCTTGTTGCCGCTTCGATGTGAGGCCTACCTGCCTGTTTCGTCGAGGTCTGATGATTGTCGAACCACTTCCTCATTATCGCTATAATAAGTTTATGATGCAAGAGTAAACAAGGCGCATAAGTTCACAGAGAATGATCAAACTGCGATTAGTATCTATTTCTTCATAAACTCAGTGAAAGCTTCATTTCACGACATTTTATAATTCGGCGACTTGTAAGTAGCAGCACCAGTGAGCAAGAGATTCTACCGAAAATAAATGGTCACGCTGTATGCGATATATCAGAACTTTTAAGCTAATCTTGCCAGGATCAAATCTTAGAAGCAACAGAAATATTTGAAGGGGGCTAAGACCAATAAGAACGAAACAAGACATCACACTGCTTGAGTCTACCGATAAAGTAACTATGAAAAAAAAAAAAACTCTCATCGACATGATTTCATGTTTACTCTGTAGAAAAAGACGAGTAGTTGAGTAATAGTTGAGGAGTTAAGCTTTCTTCGACTTGTTGCGCTGCGTTTTCATCATCCTATAGCTGAGCTCTCCATATTACCCTCTATCTTAGCTTTCGAGGGCGACGTAAGTGTCAACGTTACCTTCGGGCCTCGTTCGTATCGTCCAGCTTATTAGCTTTTTCCCACTCCCCGCTTCAAATAGAACTACAATAAGCGGATATTCACATAAGCTTCGAGTTTTTCTTTTCTGCTTCTTTGTCAGTTCCGTCGTTTTACTTGTTCCCTATATACCCAAAAGGATAATGGCAGCGACAACGCCATCTAGGCTCATGCGCTCACCACCGCCTCAAGCTTCGAAGACAAATGCCACAAAGTGACATGCGATTAAGTGAAAAATAGGATGAAGGCCGCGTACTTGGGCCGGCCAATGCAAAAGTATCGAGACAGGGGGGTCAAGCAAACCTTCGTGGACTCCCTTCCGATATCGAGAATTGCTTTGTTGCAACCGACGCTACTGCGCGTACCGTTAGCCCGCTATCGGCTTAGCGGCACAGAGCAGAGCTTTGACACAATGCGTTTCATAGGCGCACACAGATTAACCGCGACATGCTGAATCCCCGCGCGTCGTGCCGTCGCACCCTGTCAACGAGGCCGAACGACCAAAGCCATCTGACGCTGAAACAAGGAAAAAGGCCAGCGACCTGGCAGGTAAACGCACGAAGCCGGCAGCATACAGTGGCGCCAGCATCGCAGCGGATCGACCAACAACGAACCGAATCTAATACGCTGCGCAACGGTGCACCGAGGACGGCTGGAAACAGGGGATTGTTCTTTTATCTATTCTTTACATAAGAAATAGAGTAAGAGCCCCGCCTTTGCTGGTCCTGTCGTTCCAAGCGAGGTAAGCTTAAGCTGATGCGCGGGTGCCGGCTGCCGGTATTTGCTAACTTGGTGTTCGGCGTTAGCCCTGTTAGAAAAGAAGGGTTGGAAGTTGTGATGGTTAGAAGAACAATGGTGCGGCTATGTAGGCTGGAAACGCTAGAAAAATTGATCAAAAATATAGGGAGAACAAGAAAACTTGGTGTGTTCGAGGTAAGCCGCAGCGCTCCAATATTCTGTGTAATATTGCCGACGCGAGCACCTTCGGACTTGGGGGGGTCTCAAACCCCCTTCAGAGAAAGGGATGAAACTGCATTCCTGTCCAGGCATTGCTCGACCAAAATATTGAGTATATGCTTACGTCCAAGGCTACCTGTTCAAACTCACATTTTGCCAAGGCGCTATCGGTTTTGACATGTGGGATAAATATTATTATCGGTTGCGTCGACATACGCGTTTGCTACTATATTGCAGTTTTAGACGATGTTTGCCTTAGGGCAAATTGCTTCGAGTATGACAGTATTGCGCAAGTATGACTTAATGCCGTCATTAACAATAAGTAGTTCTATTGATCTAATTGTAGTAATACGGTGACGCCTACAAAAAGCAAAAAGGACCTCGCTGGTCGCCTGCACAGATAAAAAAAATCTGGGCAAAATTCTATAGACTGTAGTAAGGCGGTAGCTTGAAGATATGACTTCATCTTCGCGCATGTCTGGAATTATGGCTACTGGGTATAATGCGCAAAAGCCTCTCCTCTGCCGCGTCTGCTAGCTATGAAGTTCACCAGCTATCTGTCCCGATAACCTTACATACGAAGAACCTGTGGCAGAGGAATATGCGATCGTTAATCGATTGATCTTGAAGATCTAAAACCACCCCTAAACGGCTGGGCGTTTTTTTTTTTACTTAGATTGGAGCCGCAGCAGAACGATTCAAGGTAATGTTTTTGAAATCTTCACAATTCATAGCTCAGATAATTTAAAGCAGTTCGACCAAACCAAGCCATCACATTTGTGTGTTATTGACTGTGTTTAGGAAAATCCTTATCAAGAATAAGCGGCTCAGGCCGGACGACGAGAGACGCGAGATGGACCTTTGGTTAAAGGGCCAGTTGCAGAATGAAGAAAGTGATGGGGAGGCCGAGGAACACGACGCCAACGCTATCAACGTCACCGGTACGTTAGACAGCGAAATCGATTTGTCTAGTAGGTCATTAACTATCGCTGAGTAGAATACACATATAGATATATATATATAT